CTCACTCACTGCTTAAAACCCCAGGCACTGCAACCGGTTGCTATTCAAGTAACACAGACAGTGCTAGGTGAGGTATACCTGTCTGCAGGCACCCTTCAGATTCCAATGTAAATGTATACAAGCGCACATCAAAACTCTCACTGAGGCATCCACCAACACACAACAAGAACAGGAATGTTCTCTAGCACTACAGCAACCTAAGGAAGCTTGAAGCAACCCTGTAAACCCTAAACAGACATAGCGCAGCCTTAAAAATATGAGGTCTGACTAGGTACTGGTATGCTCTTAACCTATTTGGCATGAGCACAACATACATTGAATCTGCTGTTGAACATGGAAAACTTTGAAAAACTATATTTGTTTGAAAAAGTGAAGAAAAAGTGAATTTAACAAAGAACATTTTAGAATGTATTCCTACAAAAATTTAAAAACCTGACCATTTAAGTGACTGCTGAATTACTGAATTGTCATGTTGAAGATCTCTAAAACTTACAGCTTCCTTTTCAGACTCAGCATCAGTAAAAATTCTTCTAAATCAATTGTTTCAAAACCAATTACAAAAAAATACACAGAAATTTGTTTTTGTTTTGGGCATTTTTATTATTGTATACTTAATTCCAGTATTTGCACACAAAGCAATGACAGTGTGTGCACAACTGCCTCTTTGTCAATGTGGTCTCTGCTTTCTGCAGTATGTTGAGAAAAATTATTATACTGATATGGCTCAAAATTGTTCTAGCCTTAGCAACACCATGTCTCTGCAAGCGACTACAAATAAACATCTCTGAAGTGTGACAGCCTGAGAAAAGGCCATCATGAGACAACATGATCCTTATCCACCCACACTCCCAAGTAGTTTCAAACTGTTTTGTAGTGTAGACTGCCAAATCCTTGAAGCAAAGTAAGGTTCCTGTTCAGGTTTCTATTGCCAATGGCAAATACACAGTAATATTCTTTTCTGTCTGCCAGTGCTTTTGGGCTCTGGTGTAGTGACCTGTGAATAGCTGGTGAATAGCTGGCAAAACTAGCTGATAACATTTTATGTTATCAAGTTTTGTTGAAATGTATCATTATTTAATAAGATGATTTGTTACATCATCATGTTTGTATTAAAAACAAAACCAGAAGCTGGGGAGTCAAATGAAAAGATCTTCTGTTTCCTAGCCAAAAACTACTTCATAATACTTCCTTTGTTTCTATGCTGAACGAAGTGTGCGAACTTGGTTGGTGGGGCTTCTCTCTTGCCTCCCATTGGCACTGTGAATCTGAAAACTTCTTGTCAAAGAGCAGGTGACAGAAACTCAGGTTGAGCACAGAAGACAGAACTAAAGCAGCGGTTCATCAAAAGCCTTCATGCTTGGTAAGACACCTCATACAATTTTTCCGTATCAACTTTCCCATCTGTTAAAAAGAAATCAAGCCAAGGCACAAGTCTTGGTAGAAGTGGGTACCCAAATTTCACTTAAAGGTCTGCTTCTCTCCTCAAGACAGGAGAAACATGCCTTTTTACATCTAGTTTCTCTCTAGACTGCTCAGCCAGGGCATAATCAAGACCCTTTGCAGCCACAGACATGCATTTTATCCCACTATAGCCTAGTGACCTACCGGATTCTACCTACTGGATTATGAGGCTACCTGGACTGCAAGCAAACCAAAGTCCCTCTGCTCTCTTAAAGCACTCTTAACAAGTTTACCAGAAAGAAAAACAGAAGAGATCTTACTCAGCACAAGCAAATGTGGGTCTCCTCATCATGCTTGGTATTACAAAAAGCATGAAAATGCAGTCGTCACTTCTATCTTGACTCATTGGCCAAAAGATGACACTGCATGGAAAGCTCTCCATAAGCGCAGAAGTTAAGTTTTCACTCCTCCATGCTCAGATGGATCACTCCTAATAGGGTTAGCATGCACATATGGAGAAAACCAGCCTCTCTAATATACTGTTGAATGGGATTATTATTGCCTTAACAATAAGTTTTTAGAATTACATAGACAAAAATATTTCTACATTCAAACATGTCCCCAAAGCCACTCAAATTTATAAACTATTAAACCAAGAGAGAAATACATCATGGCAAAACTCCATAAGACATCTAACTCTTAATAATTGTAAATGCCAGAACTGATACTGAAGTAGCTTTAAATAAACAGTAATCTAAAAAACGTAGTTCATATAGCATTACTGAAAACAACGCTCAGTGTTGTTAACTGTGCCCTAGATGTTTTGTCCCTCTTTCAGAGCAGAAAAAGTCACTTTACTATAGTTACCAAAGAGAAAGTCAAGAGAAGAAAGTCAACTTTATACCACAGAAGATCCACAGCTTTCAAAGAAGTAGGAAGCCTCAACAAGCTGTATCTTCGTACCTGCTGTTCCATCAGCCTGGGCATGATTTCACACAAAGATCTGCCTTACTCTTGGGAGAAAAACAAACAAACAACAACAACAAACTGACACAAATTAAAACCAAGAATTTACTTAAATAAAAAGGTAAAAAAAGACCTGCAGAATCTTTCAAGGGCAGAAAATTATCTTAGTCATTTCCAAAGAATCTCAGAATCTTTCCATTTAATTCAACCATCCTCAGAGGATTTTGTTGTGAAGTCTGAAGAGGAAGCATAAGAAATTTTCAGCTTCTTTTTAAAATAACCCTACAATTTTGATTAAGAAATGTTCATAACCATAAAAATCACCATGCTGATCCCAAAGAAACATTTTCTTTAGACTTCTCATTGGGGATGGGTAGCAGTGGTAACTGTATGGGATTTTTAAGTTATCCAAATAAAAACTTAGGTACTCCCAATTTCTTTGGATCCTTAGGGCAGTTTAATTCCACACCTGTGGAATATTTGTGGGGAAGAAAATAATAAACAAAGACGGCGTTTCCCAAATTTGGTGAACCCACAAATTGGAAGACATCTTCTGAAACACTTAGACCAGACACCATTTGTAAGCTAAAAAAAAAAAGCTGAGACCTTTTCATACAAAACCTGTGTCCCTTTGAAAATCATTAATAATCAGCAAACCACCATTTGAGACAAACTGTCTCCTGCAGTCAGCCAAGCAGAGGACTCTCACATCATTCCCATGGCCTGTGGGTAGGAGACCTCACGAGAGCCTTCATGACCAACAGGAGCATGACTCCGGCTCTTGGAAGCTTTCCTGCATGCGCCGGCACCGGGCTGGGAGACAGAGCCCGACTCAGGCCACCACCTTGAGCGCCCCCTCTGGCACCTCTCCGCTCACCAGCTGCCACCGCTGGCGCTACAAAACTGTCATTTTGGGGCACAGGTGTGTCCTCTAGCTTGACAGTACCCAGGCCGGCCTGACCTTGCCAAACATCAGCTCAGGTGAAGAAGGAATGAAATGACTCCCATACGGACAGAGATGGGAGGCACTGGATACACGACAACTTCAGTTGCTCCCTAGCCTTAGTAGGCCCTACTCTGCCCATGGGAAACCATAGCTCTCAACACAAGAGGAAGTCCTCAAAAGGTACAGCGAGCAAGAGGCAAGATGTGGATCAGGCCTAGGGTGCAGAGCAGGA